CATATCAGCAGACTCCACATAGTTTTGCACCCCAAAGCTTTTTCCCGTGTCACTCTTGTCTCTTCTTACAACTCCCAGTGCATGAGCAACATCCTACCTATGCTGAAATCCTTTTTCAACAAGTCTAGCCTTGTATCTCTTACTGACATCACACTCAGTCTTCACCCGGTACACTCATTTGTTGTGCAATGCCTTCTTCCCTGGTGGAAGTTCTGCCAGCTCCAACTTGCTCGAACTTTCATCTTGCAAGATTTCTTCATAGCTCTGTGGTTCTTCAACATATGTCTGTGGAACAATAGAAATGGGTGCCCCAGCCCTACTTTCCTTTTCACTTCCATCACTGCCCTGCACTATGGCTCTAGTAGATTTCCTACCACATTCAAAGCCCTGAATCCAATATTAAGTTCTCAACAGAACTATGAACTGCCAACTTGTGATACTTCAGATACCACATTTGCGCTATCATTCTCTATCTTTTTAGGATTCTTGCAGTTATTTATGTGCCCAGCCTTGCCACAATTCCAACAGGTTGCCTGCTTACTAAACTTTGATTTTGATCTCCCTATACTTGAGTTTCTGTCATGTCATCTCCCTCTGAAATCAACATTCAATGTCTAACTCGAACCTGAGACCTTGCCAAAATCTTTCTTGCGAACTTCCTCAGTCAAAATCAAATCACGAATATTATTGTATTTCAGTTTAGATTTACCTGTAGAACTGCTATCTGCTATTATCATTGCTTTCCAACTATTTGACAATAAAACCAATAGATCAGTGCACATATCTTATCATCAAAATCAATTTGCACAGACGACAATTGATTTGTGATATGATTGCAATCATTCAGGTATTGAGCAACAGAAACAACTTCCGTCATCTTCAAATTGGATAAATTTTTCATCAAATTTACCTTGTTATTTGTCGATGACTTTTCATGCATACCTAATAAGGCTGCCATGAGATCTGCAGTCGTCATTTCCTTGATGACGATGTGTGCAACTAACCTCAATAAGGTCAATTGAATAACCCCCAGAATTTGTCGATCCAACAAATTTTATTCAGCCTCATTCATCCTTTCAGGTCTTTTCCCTAATAACAGAAGATGGAGTTTCTTCCCATAAAGATTACCCTCTATTTGCATTCTCCAATAACCAAAATATGTGTCATCAAACTTCTCGATCCCTGAAACATTCTATTCTTCTGCAACTATCATTCTTCCTCATATCCGAAACCACTCTCTGATATCAGTTGTTATTGTTGCTAGATCTATAGATATACCAGTTGATGTGGTATATATATAAATCAAACAGAAGAATGATCGATGAAGCGAAAAATAGAACGAGAAAAATTCACACTAGAAAATAACACACAGATATACGTGGATCGACAAATTATCTACGTAGACGGAGTTGCAGAGGATTTTACTACTTGAAGAATTTATAACAGTCTATCACCTCGACTTGCAAGAGGATTCTCTCACTCTCACTTCGTTGCTCTCGGTTCTTCTCTCTCTACACCGAGATACACCGAAGAAGACAAACTTACAAGAAAATAAACCCAATTTTTCTTCTGCCACAAGCCACCAAGAAGAAGCCTAGGGACAACAATCTTCTTCTTCTTCTTTCTTCTTCCTTCTACCGCAAGGAACTACCGTTTGCACTTCTCTTCCTCTTTCCCGAGGAAATCTTCCTCTATCCCGAGGAAACCGAAGAAGAACTCAAAGCGTGACTACTAAACCCAATGAGAGTCATCCGAAGCTTTTATCAAAAACAGGGGAGCGAAGGGATGTTTTACTTCACAAAAAAGAAAGACGGGAGTGGTTATTTGTGAAGAGGTGTGACTTTTCAAAATAAAGTAACCGCTCAAGCATAGTGGACCGGGCTCCACCGTTTCTAACACAAGATATACCTAGAAAGGGTGCAGAGAAATTGTCAGATGTTGAAAAAAGGGGTGAAGGCCAATCTGCCCACTCCTAGATAGTTTTCCTAATCTCTTTTCTTTTTTCCAAGAAGTTGCATCCCCCGTCCCCACCCCACATCTCTTTTCACTTGATGGAATGGGGAGAAGGATATGGAGTAATGGTGTGATTTTGCAGAGTTAAAGTGATCTTGCTTCTATGTCATTGAACAGTGGTTTTAACATGCTATGGATATTTAGAGCCGACCTTGAAAAGGTCCCGATCATTAGCTTCTGTTTCATAGATTAAATCCGAAAATTGATGTCCTCATACTTAGCTGGAATACAATGTGTTTGATATGCCATTTCTTTATGAAATGAATGGTTACCCAAAGTTCCAACTAGTTGACTATTGGTTTGAGAGGTTGCAGTAGGAGATATTTGATTTTCAAAAAAACAATTAGTGCTGATATAAATTCTGGGCAGAAAGTTCTGTTAAATTTTGCTCATGGTTATGAGCTAATCATTACTATGATATGTTTTAATTCACAAAGAAAAAAGTTATATTCAATCTCCTTTATGAATGGGGACTAAAAGAATGGTTATAAATGGCAGCTGTATGATAGGGGCCTTTGAAGCACGGGCACATAATATTGAATTTAGCAAGATTTACATACATACAACTCGATTCTTATATATTTACATGCCTAATACCCAGACTTTAATTTTTACATACATACGTCCTTATCTATGCATAAAAGGATGCATATCACTTTTTAAAGTTAATGGTGGTATTTTTGATGTGATATGAAAGATTTGGGTGGTATAAGCATATAAAAGCAAAATTTAGGAGTTAGATATGTAAATATATAGGTATTGGGTGGTATGCTTGTAAATGCCCCTTAAATTTAATGATTGCTTAATTTAATTTAATTCTCTCTAGATAACAATGTAGTTTACTAATCAATAATCAAGAGTACATAACATGCTTAATAACAGTATGGTCTTGGCCTATTTAGAGTAAGTTCACAACTCGTCTATTTTGATGGCAAACCCTAGATGAAGAAGTATTGAGGTTTTCAAATTCAGATTTATTTGGGTTCAATATCAGATTGGAATCTGTAAAGAACTTGCTTTAGGTTATTTAAGCACTTTCCCAGGACTTACTTTCTAAGATATCATCCAAGTATATAAGGATAAAAGTATATAGGAGCACCTCATTATTTAGTTATATAAAAGTGTTTGTGCATTACACAACCAAACAGTATCTTTTATCTCACTCAAACAGTCCATGGCAAGCTTTGAACTGTGTGTCTTCCCACATCTATACTTCATGGTAACCTAACTTAAAGTCTAGTTTGAAGAAGTATCAAGATTATTTTTGTTAAGTATCAAGATTGTTTTTCTCTTCCCACATCCATGTAAGAGTATTTGTTTTAGTCCCATGTTGGATATGTGCGAGGCGTTTTGTTGTAGAAATACTTAGTGGCTATCCTTTTTCTGTTGTCTTAAATTTTTGGATGAAAATGGGTTTAACCATTGATGCATTTGACCTAATTTCATTTTCTCTTTGACCACTCTCTAACAAGTGGTATGGTATCATAGTCATGAAGGGGTCTCAAATCGGTTTCTGATTTAACCTAAAATTGTTTCGACCTGAAATATTAAATGAATTGGAAAAATTCAACCCAAATGTCGCCTTCAACCCATTGATCCATTCCTGAATCGAACCCGTATAACCCATTTAACTTAAGACATACCTATTCATGTGAAATATGGGTCAATTTTTGGTTGGGGAGTTGATTTCAAGTCTTTTTTTGGTTGGCGGGTCTGTTTCAATAAATGTTATGTTAGCAGGCCAATTTGAACCATGCTCGAAAAATTATAAAGGTTAAGACTCTTAACATGAACTCGACTTGAAAATTATTTAGGTCAACCCAAACCCAAATTTTGTGAGTCTGGTTCAGGCCAAGTTGTAGTATCGGGTCAATTTTTGACATCCCAAATAGCCATTGGTTTGATTGGGATTGAGTGGCTAATGCATTTTGTGGCTTCGAAGATTGAATTGGCTCTTGGTTCTTAATAATTGATGATTTTTAAATTTTTTTTAGAGCATGTGATAGCTGATATAGAGAGCTCTCATTTGAAGAAAAATTATTCCGTGCGAACACCGCATGCAGAGATGCATGCGGTGTCCGATCTCTACCGTCCATCACGGCTTTGATGGGACCTACTTTCAAAATTTTTTTTTTTTAAAAATTCCCACCAAAACAGTGATGGACGGGGGAGATCGGATACTACATGCATCTCTGCATTCGGTGTCCGCACGGAATAATTTTTTCCATTTGAAGAGATTTTATTGACACTTGAGAGTAATATGTTTAATCTTGCATTAGATATATTAAAAATATCTTGATGAAATTATTTTGGTTCAAAATGGGCTGACCATTGATAATCTTACCCAACTTGACCTCCTTTTGGTTCCTCAAGATCTTCAATCCTTTGTAATTTTTATGTTGATTTTATTCCGTGCTTGATGGGCGCTAGCATGATTCATGAACTGCAATTTAAGGACAGATCTAAATGGCGCTTTGTTTCACTATCTCGACGCCTTTAGATCTGTTCACTCTTATCATTTGGCATTGGAGTTCCATTAATGACAACTCATGCTCCTCCAGTCTTCTGGGAGGGCATGTATTACACCTCCATGAATAACTACGATAAAATTTGCAAAATCCTGTTATTCTGCTAGCTCTTTGCAGAGTTTAGCATGACAAAAATATATAATTTACATATTAGCTCACATTTAAGTTTGCTGGAGAAATTGGTCAAAGTCTTTATCTTAATCCTATTAATAGGATTAGAAACAATGGTTGCACAAGTGCTGGAGAAATAGTTCATTCTTGTCATCAATTTAAGATGGAGATTTCAGTATTTTTTATTGTTTTGCCCCTTAAAATTGCATAATTAGAGCATATAAACTTTAACACGTCAAAAAGATTTAAATAGATTTAATCTAAACTGTACCAAACATTATTGTGGATTTAGAGCATATAAAATTTATGAATGAAGCTAAATGTCGTCCAAATTATTCTGTGGAACAGGAGCTCCCATTGCAGGATCTGCAGTGGATAAAATCGAGCAAGTAGTGGGCTATGTTAGCTTGGGCTACCCATTCGGCTGGGCGGCATCCATCCTCTTTGGACGGCACCATGAATCGATTCTTCGATCTCAAAAGCCCAAACTATTCGTAATGGGAACCAAGGACGGATTCACAAGTGTGAAACAACTCCAAAACAAGTTGAAATCGGCCGCAGGCCGTGTCGAAACCCGTCTGCTCGAAGGAGTTGGCCATTTCCAGATGGAAGGGCCTGATTATGATGCCCACATGGTTGATCTCATCAGCCAGTTCATTCAATCCCTACAGTCTTAGTTTTAGTTTTATGAATGAAATTATGTATGCATATGTCTAGGCCTTGAATTTTTATATTTATATTTACAATATTTTGATTTTATAAATTTATACACGAAAATATGTATTTTATTTTTAAAAAAATAGGGGTGTGTGCATACATGGCACATAATTTCTATCTATTTATATATCTCACACTTAGAACTTTTATATTTACACACATAGCATCCAAAATTTTAATATCATATTAAAAATAGCAGTATTATTATTTTTTAAAAGGGTATTTTATATGTTTTAATGCATTGGTTTAAAGTGCCAAGCTGCTATGAATGTAAATATTCATGTTTAGGTGTGAGATATGGAAATACATGAAACCTGTGTGCTATGTATGTAAATGTCTCTAAAAAAGTAATTGTGTTATTTTTTACATGATATTAAAGATTTGAATGTTATGCATGTAAACATGAAAGTTTAGGTGTTAGATATGTAAATATGTAAATAGATAAGAAAATAGATAAGAATTGTGTGGTATGTATGTAAATGTCTCTAATTTTAAATTTGGTTTAATTACATACAGACCACCTGAAATATTGGTCTGTATGTAATTGACCCTTTAAATTTTTAGCAATAAAGTGGGTGACAGTTACAATACTCGACAGCTACAAATTGATCCCAACTCCCGAATTGGGTGCTGGTCAAATTCAAAGATTGACATTCTAATCAATTTGACTTCCAAGTCAAAATAAATAACAAGTTTTGAGTTGACTCTCTTGTTCACGACTGACTTGACTTATTATCTTTCAACATATACTATTAATTCTGAATAACCTTATTTAATATTAAATTAATTAAATATTATTGTATTTAATAGAATTAGTTGATATTATGGTTTATAGAACAGAAATATGTTATGTATTTAAGAGATTAAATGGATTGGAGAAAAGGCTAAGGAGAAAGTGTTCAAGTAGGAGCTGCATTAGAAATGTTGGTGTAATTATGGATAAAAATTTGAAAGATATTGTTATAAAAATTAATAGAATTGGAGATCAAATTATAGTCTTAATGATTGTTATTGATACTAAGATTTTTGATGTTATCAGTGATTATACTCCTCAAGTAGGTTTAGATATATGTTTAAAAGAAAAGTTTTGTAATAACTTAGATGAATTAATATATATAATACATCTTGAAGAAAGAATTTTTATTGGATGGACTGTTGGTAGAGTGATAGAAGATTTTAGAATTATTCATGGTGGCTACGTTTTTGTAGTGATTAATGAAGGAGGTGGAATCATATTAGATTTTGCTTTAACATATACTTTTATTATTGCTAATACTTTGTTTAAGAAAAGAGATGAGCATATTGTTACATATAATAATGAATCTAATGAAACATAAATTGATTATTTTCTTATAAGAAAAAAGAGATTATGGAGAATATAAATATTGTAAGGTCATTCTAAGTGAAAATTTAAGGACTCAATATTGATAATTAGTTCTGAATTTTAAGATGAATAGTTGTAAGATAAAGAATGCAATGAAACATTATTACAAAATTAGATGAGACACTTAAAAATCACAAATAAAATTATTTCTATCAATAAACTTCAAGATTTCAAGATTTGGATTGTTCATGAAGAAATAAATCCTAAGTGAGATAAAGTAATAAGTATTATTAAACCGGTAACAAAAGATGTACTTGGATGATCAAAAAGTCAAGTTTTTATAAATAAAAAAAAGTTTGTGGTAGAATAATAATGTGCAAGAACATATAGAATATAAGAATTTGTGTTATAAAAATTGGTTTAAATGTAAAAGCTTAGAGAATTGGAAATTTATATTAAAGATGGTTGGCCGTTAGAGCGTAAAAGAGAATAATTTGTGATGCTAAACTTTCATTTTTAGTGATATTTATAATAGATTAGATACTACAGAGGGTGAAAAATATATGTACTAACTAACCAATTAAAAAAAAAATAAAGATTTAACTAAGTAAAGTGTATTAAAGATGAAAATTAAAAAGTGTTTCTCTTAGAAGAAATATTCAATATAATTTTTTAAAAAATTTTGAAAATAAGATCAACCTTAGTGATCTTAATATCATTAATAATAATAAAACATTTTATTTTTACCGTCGCATTAGTAAAAAGTGATTGAGGAGGCTTTAAGGAAAACTAAGGGTGGAAAATCAGTAAAACATAATAGTGTCCCAATTGAAGTGTGGAAATGTTTAGGAGAATTGAGAGTTTCTTGGCTTACGAATGTCTCTAATTTTATTTTAAAATCTGAAAAGATGTCTTGAGGAGTGAAGGAGAGTATTTTGGTCCTCATTTTTAAGAATAAAGGGGATGCATAAGTATTTACAAATAATAGAGGAATTAAGTTGATGTGTCATACTTTAAAATTATGGGAGAGGGTAATTGAACATATGTTAAGACATGATACAAAATTTCTCATAATCAATTTGGATTTATGCCAGACAGGTCTACTATTGATGCTATACATTTATTGAGAGGTTTGATGGAGAAGTACAGAGTGAATAAGGAGGATCTACATATGATTTTTGTTGATTTAGAAAAAGCTTATGATAAGGTTCCAAGAGAAGTCATTTGAAATGTTCTAGATAACAAAGGTGATGATATGACTTTTTTCATGTCAATAAAGATATGTATGCTAGAGGTGTTACTTTTGTTTGAATAGGGAGGATTAACAAAGTGTTTCCTTATTACAGTTAGATTACATCAGGGATTGACTTTAAGCTCATATTCTTTTGCTTTAGTTATGGATGCTCTTACTATACATGTACAAGAGGATGTACCTTGGTGTATGCTTTTCACCGATGATATCCTTTTTGCAGATAAGACAAGATGAGTTCAAGAAAAACTTAAATTATGGAGGTCTACATTGAAGTCTAAAGGCGTTCGTTTGAGTAGATCTAAAACTGAAAACACAAAATATAATTTTAATAGAAGTTGCTCTAGTGGCATATTTGTAACTATGGGTGATCAAATCATTAAAAGGTGTGAACATTTTAAATATCTCGGGTCCATTGTTCAAAGCGATGGTGATATAGATGGACATGTTATCATGTTATTAGTAGAATGTAGAATTCAAGTTGGTTGGTTAAAGTGGAGGAATGCATTGTGGTTATTGTGTGATAGAAACGTACCACTTGGACTAAAATGAAAACTTTCTGGGATGGTGGTAAGACTCGCAATGCTCTATAGCGCATAATGTTGGTCCTTAAAAGAGAAGCATAAAACAAAATTAAGTGTTGATGAGATGAGAATGAGCAGGTTGATGAGTGACTAGACACTGAGAGAGAAAATGTGAAATGGATATATATGTGATAGGGCTGGTGTAGCTCCAGTGGTGAACAAGATTAAAGAAAGTCGTCTTAGATGGTTTGGTCACATTAAAGATCGACCAATTGATGATCTAGTTAGGAGAGTAGGTGTTCTTAATTCTATTTATGTTAAGAAAGGGAGAGTAAACTTAAAACGACTTGGGTATATTGTATAGAAAATGATCTTAATCTATTAGAATTAAATGAAAATATGACGCTCAATAAGACACAATAGAGAAAAAAGATTCATTTAGCCGACCCTTTGAATAAAGATTTGTTGTTGTTATTGTTGTGTTAAATGAAACAAAGAAAAAACTCTCAATCACTTAATCATAACCCTAATTGAAAGATAAAATATTTTAATTCACGTCGTTGTTCGTAGTACGCCATTTGTTTATAATACGCCATTAATAGCAAGCAAAGAACTAAAGCTCTCATTGCATGATGTAAAAAATATATTTTATATGTATATATATCATATGCATGGCTGCCAAATAAGATTGATGTACCTGGTCGGGCATGATCAACAAGGTTTAATGAGCTCATATATTTAACAACCCAAACAAAAAATAAAAAATTATTTGCTAAAAAAAATTTCAATATATATATATATATTTTATGAAATTTTTATCTCCAATAATTTTTTAATGAATTAATCACAAACTAAAACACGTCATCAGAATAGTAGCCTCAGGTGATTTATTGTGGAGAGGGCTTTCATGGATGATCCCGATTGGCTGTAGGAACTGTGATTACAGCACCAACCAGAGGTGGAGGTGTGGAGAGCCACATTGCAGGCGATGAAGGCTAAGGATGAGAGGAGTGGGGCCCACTCTTACTATTATTATTATTATTATTATTATTATTATCATCCATTTTGAATGAATTCGGATTTAACCTGAAATTAGAATTCATTCAAGTATAAATTTCAGTTTGAGCTACATTTTGATGGTATTAGGACTCGGATTAGGATGATTTTAATATGGTTGAAGTAATCTCGTTGGAACACGTCTTTACAATCATAAATTTCATTTATAAGAGTTTTGATAACTTTTAAAATTGATGCATCACCAAAAGTTTTTATCATGAATCTCGATAAATAATCCTCTAAATTTAAATTGATGCCTCGATTTCAATAGGCACATAGTCAAATTGGCCGCATCGACAATACAAACACAATGAGGAAATTTTTGTTTGATTTAGGTCCAATCAAGCGCATATCAAATCATTAGAGCACGTTTGGAAGCTTTGAATTGTCAATTGAATGTTCAAATGAATTCTAAATTTGAAAATTTTATAGTCGAACTAAGCATCTCGACGAGAAAAATCCAATAAGTTTAAGATCTTAAATAATTCAAAAACAATCTATGATCAAGGGAGATTAACAAAGGCTGTCTGATAGGGTGGTTAGAGAAGTTTGCATCAAAAGACCAAAATACACCTCCCCAGAAGACTTTAAATAGACCCCCTCTCTTCACTTGAGATGGGAGAGGAGAGAAAAGTGAAATTTCAGAGCATATTATGGAGAGAAGCCTTGACAATAACCACTGCCCTCTATAGCCACCAATCATTGTAGACCACTGCCTCTCGGCTGCCGTCGTTTATCGCTGGCTGTCACTGTCTACCATAGCCAACCACTGGCCTTTGGCGACCTCTACTTGCAACGGTTGTATATGAAATATTGTTGTTGTGTTTAACACATACATTGAAGACGTGACCATAGCCACCGACCTTCGTAGCTATCAACCAACATCAACCATTTTCTATTGGCCACCATT